AAGCCGCCATGTTCTTTAGACTGAACTGTCGCGCTTCTCGGTGAGTCACGCCTCAACCCGCCTCAAAGCCAACGCTGATTGGACGTTCGTTTGGTGAACGGCTCCAAATTTTCTTTAACGGAGAGTCTCCAGACTGATCTGCGAGTGAAACCTTGAAAGCTGGCGAGATCAGGATGGTCTCACCAGGCTAATAAAACACGGCAAAATCCATCATCTTTACTCAGACTCAGAAAGACCAAAATACATTGTTTTTCCAGATGATGCAAAGTTAAATGTGACTCAGTTATAAAACTAAGGAAATGAAGTCTAAGGAAGTTTTCATCCAGAATTGTAGAAAAATGTTTCTTTAATAGGGTAGAGCAGTAAAGCTCTGGCCTTAACTGAATTTCCTGCATTACTTTGACTTTTCTACTTTACGAAGTTTTTAAAATGGTACTTTTACACTTTTACTGGAGGAAAAAGCTGAAGTTGATCCTCTAACTTCTTTAAAAGTGTTTAAATGGAAATAGGTTGTGGAACTTAGTGCCAGAGATGACATGATGACGGACAGCAGACCTAAAGTAGGTAACAGATATTGTCTTTATTAGTGATTAAACAGCGTGTGACCTGCAGACTGAGCCTGCACCTGGATACTGGAGTAATAAGCAGCAAAGGTGTGTCTGCTGTCACTCACCTTTATGACTATTACTGCAAAGCAAGAGACTTTATCTTAAAGAAATGATTAAACCTCTGAGTTCCACCAGTTTAATATGGGAGTGATGGAAACACTTCCTTATCTGTTTATCTAAAGCTTATACTGGTGAATAATCTGTGGATTTCTGCCCCCTAACCACGTGTCCCTCTCCTCTGTCTCCTCTCCAGCTGAGTGAGGTGGAGGTGAACGGGCAGATCGAGCAGGTATGCGAGCAGGTCTACAGTGAGCTGCAGTCTCAGGCCATGGATGCAGGGATGGACAGTCTGGAGACCATGGACACCCTGCCTATGCCTGGATGCTTCCGCATGCGGAGCCCCAGCTATGTAAGGGCCATCGACCAGGGATGTACCTCTGAGGACGAAGGACCAGGAGGAAGACCACTGCTGCTGCTTCCATCCTCACCCCCCCGCACCACCGCCACCACTGTCAGGACCATCCAGAGCAGCACAGGTGAGCGCTGCTACAAGCGACACTAAAAGATAAATCTTTGGTTGTTTAAGATGGTAACTAATTTCCTATACGAGATAACAAAATAGAGATGGCATGTTTTGAAAAAGGCCTACTTTGTGGCTCCAAACAGCTTTTCCTTGGTTGGACCCGGGGCCAAATGTCTCTTTGGATATGAAAGGTTGCAGGGGAGTGTTTCTCACTTACGTCATTAACATTTGATCTTTAGCTCATGCTCTGATTTGCATCTTAATCTCTTTGTCTGAACGTAGAGCTTTTTGTCTTTGCGGTTCCTACCAGGGACATTAAGACCAGCAGCAAAGTCCTGGGGTCTACCAGGAAAAGAGACTTAACCACGTTTAAGACTCTGTTTGATGAACAGCTTTGCTTTATGGGCACCAAACTGAGAGGCTTGATGATAGCTGAATGTTTCCAAGACGTTACTTCAGGATCAAGATAAACTTTGCCAGACTAAAGTCCTCTGTTTGCTCCTCGATTTTGTACAATAATCGTACTTAGGTCCTTTGTTATTAAATCAATAAGCATTCGGTCTGTCAGGTTCTGTCCTGGGAATATATATTTAAGATGTCTTTAGCATTAGGAGGCCAACAATTCCCTTTAACGACCCCCCTTTCAGAGACATGCTGTTTCTCACTATATGTACCGTCCTCCAGACTGACAGCTGTCCCAGCATGCACTGCGGCAGCAGCAGCTTCCAGGTTAGCGCTCACAGAGCTCAGAGGATTAAGATAAAAGTTCTCTTTAATGTTGCTGTTGTTCAATAAAAATATGTTTTAACATAATTTGAGCAAAGAATATTATACTAAAGCTTCGCTATATCGAACATTTACTGATTTAGTTGAGAGGATCGCAGCAACCAGTGGAGCTCCCACAGTAACAGCAGCCAGGGCTAACGTTAGCCCGTCTGTGGCAGCCAGGGCTAGCATTGGCCCGCCTGCGGTGGCCAGGGCTAACGTTAGCCTGTCTGCAGCGGCCAGGGCTAATATTAGCCCATCTGTGGCGGCCATGCCTAACATTGGCCCGCCTGCGGCGGCCAGGGCTAACGTTAGCCCGTCTGCGGCGGTCAGGCCTAACATTGGCCCGTCTGCAGCGGCCAGGGCTAATATTAGCCCATCTGTGGCGGCCAGGCCTAACATTGGCCCG